TCCGCGGGGGCAGTGCCGGGGCGGGCTGCGGCCGGGCCCGGTGCTCGGGCTCCTCGGTGAAGGCGCTCGGAAGGGGCCGGTGGTAGCGGAGCGCTGCGTGGCTAGGACAGCTCAGCTCCAGGCCGAGCCCAGTCGCTTTCTCTTGTTTAATACCCCCGGTGTGGCCGATTCTGTCTTCGTGTAGCGCTAAAGAGGCTTCTCCAGGGCTGTATTTCTGAAACCTGGGAGGTCAGTGTGAGGGTCCCTGAGTGGCTTCAGATTGAGTTTTACTCCCTTAAAACCAAGCTGAATGCAAGCTGACTTAAGAGAAGCAAGGACTATTTCCAGGGGATTTGTTAATGCTTCATGAAACTATGCAGCCATGTTGGATCTGGATCGTCACCTGAATCAGTTGAGCCCCCTGTTAAATAGAATTAGTACAGATGAGTTCTGAGAGCATGTGGCTTGGATTATGGGTCTGGTAGAGTCTGTGCCAAGACAGAGCAAAAGTGCCTTGCTGAGCTGCAGCTGACTTGCACAGTGTCATTGAAAAGCATCAAGCTAAGGCTAGTTACTGTCTCACTTATTTTTAAAGGTGTTTGTTAATTTTGTTTTCTGAGTAGTAGTTCAGTGGCAGTAACTGTGTTCTGCCTGATGGGCTGTTACTTTGAGCAACCAATCTATTTCATTATTTTAACACTGAAGTTGTGTTTTGTGATCTCAATAAAAGTGAAACAATAACAAATAATGCAAGCAGAGCATAAACAGATAATTGTCATTTGTGATATCACAGAAGCATGTGGAACAGTATATTTTTTCCTCTACTTTTTAATATGGTTTAAAATGTTTTCTTGTCATCCTTTAACATCCAACCTTTTGGTTGGTAGGACTGGTGCCTTTATGTATCTCTGCAGATGTCTCTCTCCTGTGTCTTGTATACCTTCAGTCTGTGATTAATGGATGCATGTGTTTTGGTGAAGCAGGAAGGAGCATAGTTTCAGATAATAGGTTTAAGGTGGCAGTGGTTGATTGTGCAGGTTTTTTTGGCATTGGTTGACGATCTTAAACTCTTGGCATCGCGGTTTAGGATTGCTCCCCTCTGGCAGCGCTGAGCACAGTGCATGCTGACAGGGTGTCAGTGTGGCTGGCTGATTGGAGTCTGTTTCACTCCTTTGCCACAGAAGAATTGATTGTAGCAATTTTGGACATCAACTAGTTCATTTTTAGGACATGTTGGTGGTACGCAGTTTCTAATGAGAGCTGGTGAAAACTCCTGCATTCATCTGAGCTTTTTTTTAATTGCACTTTGTTTACATAAGGATGACGCTGTCGGCATTGTGCTACCGGGGAAACATTAACCCTAGCCCTTCAGAAGTTTTTGTTGGCGAGCTGGAGCTCTGCATGGGTCAGTCCCAAAGGACTGTGCTGCAGTATTAATAACGGTGCTGTGCCTGTACTAGAGAGCTGAACAGGGCTATGATGAGGGCTGGAGTGTTCAAGTTGCATGATCTTCATCAGTATTTAATTATCAATACCATCCTAGGCATGGTATGGTCTGTGTCAGCCAGTGTTTCTGGTGATGGTACCTAGATACGATTTGGGGAATAACAGAGGGATCATTCCCAGTAGGCAGTCATTTTTGGATGTCGTTTTTCTGGAGGGGAGTTTAGTTACAAGATTGTACGACTTGCCTTAAGGATAGGAGCCTAGCTCCTGGCCAGTTTTATTTACTTTATAAATGTAGCTTCACATTCCTGTTAGAGGCCGTGTATCATCTTTCAAACATGTTAGAATAGGCTTTCTTTTGAAAATCTGAATGGATTCTGTCAATAAAAAGCTCCTTCAATTTTGAGGATCGTGTGGCAAGTGTTGTGTAGTGGGACTTGATATTGCCACTACAATTCCAGGAACAAAGTAGCTTCTGATGAATGTGTTTTCACTGTAAGTTGTAGTAACAACTGGTTTTTATCCTTGATTCTGTAGTAGTTAAAATGACGACAGCAGCGAGGCCAACATTTGAACCTGCAAGAGGAGGAAGAGGAAAAGGTGAAGGAGACTTAAGTCAACTATCCAAACAGTATTCCAGCAGAGACCTTCCTTCTCATACTAAAATCAAATACAGGTTAGTATTGGGGTTTTTGGGTTTATGGCAAAACAGGCTGGGAATGATTTTTTTGTTATGAGCGGTAGTCTGAAATTTTTCATAGTAGTTGTTCACGTGTTTGACACTGAGCAGACACCAGAGATTGTGCAGTGGTGCTGAGTGGGCTGAAACTCTCAAAGGCAGACTTAGGAGATTGAATGCATTGCAAGTAATTGGAGAGGTTTAATTTTAGTGCTGTTTATTACTGCTTATGGAAGTGAATTGTCAGAAGGTGAGCTTTGGAGACCAAGCATTTTGGACAGTAGAGTGAAAAGAAAATTGTCGTTTGGAACAGGAGAAGCCAACTGAGCCAGGGAGGGTGCTGTCCCTGGCAGAGCAAGATGGGATAAGAGGAACGAAAATGAGCCTTAAAAGCATCTTAAAAGCAGGAAAACCATGTCCTATATTTGGCAAAGGACCGCTGGGGAAGGGCATTAAGAGGAGGCAGGGAAATGATGGAATAGTACTCAGGCAGTAGGATATATTGGAAGAGCTGATGTTAAACACTGCGGGTGGTTCATGCTGGTCTTTGGAGAGGATATTGCTTTAATCAGTGAGAAAGATAATGGGATCTTAGAAATATTTTCCTTTGTTTGAAATGCATAAGAATTCTTTGTTACTCTTTTGAAAGATTAAATGAAATCTGTAGTCAATGTGATACAGATAGATTTCATTTAAATTCTAGGTGTCAGCCTAGAAATGCCTTGGTTGGTTTTTTTTTTTTTTCATCTAACTAATGTTACTCTTGTCAGTGAATTTACCATTAGGTTTTATATTTCCACTTTTTTGTGCAGGAGCTTACCCTTTCACCTCTTCCCTCCTGCCCCTTTGATTTTGAAGAATACATATGGATAAGGGAGTTGGAGTACTTTGGAGAATGCCAAAATCAACAGCACAAAAAGTGCTGTCAAATGCGTTTTGTTGCAATAGGAAAATTGCTGGAGGTTTATTTCTTTAAACAAAATGGGGTTTGGAACAGCAGTCTGTTGCTTTGAAAGAAGTGTGCTGGGACAAATATGTACAGGAATATACAATGTGTGTTTTAACAAATCCCTCCATGTGCATGAGAGAGAGAGATGGAAGGGGCATTAAGTGTCTTCTGTTCTTTCTCCCAAATACCTAATACAAAGTTGTCTTTGTTGAATTGCCAGGACTGCATCATTGCAGGGAAAAGTTTGGTGCTTCAGTCCCACTCATGTTTGCTTGAATGACACAGGGTTTGGGGGGATTTTGCAGCTGTATCAGGGATTCCAAGTTCAGGTTTTTAATTACAAAAGCAAATGAAATACTTCATCATAAAGACAGGCTGTGCACACAATGTATTTATAATGGCTCGAGTCTGGGTTTCTTCCAGACACTCTTATTTCCAGCCCTGGGTTCACAGAAAGGTGAAAGGAGTTGCTGCTTGTTGTTACTCATTAGTTCTTTTCAAGATTTCCACAGAAAATTCAGCACACTCTAGGTGGAACTTAGTGTGACTCAAATATAAATAGTCTGTTGCTTTTGGCCAATGTATATTATATATTGTAAATACATGTTTTTTCCTCTTTTATGTTTCACTAAAGCTAGTGTTCTGCCTGTTCTCCCAACCTTTTTTTTTTTTTTTAATGATCATGGGAGATTACCTGGTATGTCTCTTGGATGGGGAAAAGGTTTATAAAAACTATGTTACAGTCTTGGTCTTATCTGTAAGCCTTAGAGCCTGTGTTTGCAGCAGCAACTTGGGATGATAAAATGGCGAGTAAAGTTGACCATAATGCTGGTGGGTGTCTGCCAGGACACTAGGCTTGGACTGCTGGACAACAGAAGATTTAGACATAGCTACATAGTCACTGAAAGGAGTGCATGTGTGGCATTGCATGTCTGTGTGTGTAGTGTGTACAGAGAAGGGGGCTGATGAAGAGAGAATAAAGAAACATGCATATACGTGGTACCCAGTTCTTTATACTTACCTGTTCCCTTGAGGAATTACTGATCTCCTTCAAAAAATTGCTCCCAGCTCCAGACTGTCAACTTCAGCTTTTTTTTCCCCCCCAATATTTAGACAAACCACTCAGGATGCTCCTGAAGAGGTGCGTAACCGTGATTTCAGAAGGGAGCTGGAGGAGAGAGAACGGGTCGCTGCAAGAGAAAAGAATAGAGACAGACCAACCAGAGGTAAAAACAAAGAAACAAAAAATCTTAATCATAGAATGGTTTGGGTTGGAAGGGACCTCAAAGATCATCTAGTTCCAACCCCCCTGCCCTGGGCAGGGACACCCTCCACTAGCCCAGGTTGCCCAAAGCCCCATCCAACCTGGCCTTGAACACTTCCAGGGAGGGGGCATCCACAACTTCTCTGGGCAACCTGTTCCAGTGCCTCACCACCCTCACGGGGAAGAGTTTCTTCCTAAAAATCTAAATCTGCCCTCCTTCAGCTTAAATCCATTACCCCTCGTCCTGTCACTACATGCCCTTGAAAACAGTCCGTCTCCAGCTTTTTTCTTTTTTTTAATACCTTTGTGTGGCATTGCTCTTGCATAAAACTTGGTGGTGTAGGAGGTTTGCAGGTTGCAGACAGCATATCATGAGAGCAGAATTTAGGGTATTGGTCTGATAGTTCACAGCTGTTGACCTGCAAGGGAATGTCCGCTGGCTTTGTGCTAGCAAAAATCTAGGCCAACGAGTAGAAAAGTGTAGGCCATCATGCAGGCCAGCTGATACGGTATGATTGTAATGAATTGGCAACAAGTATGTACAGCTAATAAAGGGCTTTTTCTGTACTTGGATAAGTGATACGGGAAAGAGAAGGGGAATGACTCATCTTCTATTGTTACGGCACCGGTGTAACAATACATTTGTTTTTAAAGTATGCAATTCTGTTCAGGTTTGGTGGAAGTGATAATCAAAATGAAAATCAAAGGTTTTTTTGAGAAATACTAATTTTTAATATTAAGCTTGACAGAATGCGGGTACTTTAGGTTTAGGTATGAGAGTATTGTGAGGTTTCCAGATTCACAGATGAAAGTAGATGTGGCTTGATTTGGACCAAACTAGCCAACAGTAATGCTTTGGTCCTCAGTGGGAACCCTCCATCTGGATATATAGAATAAGGATACTTTTTCACAGCTTTTTCTTTTGCTGTTCGTTCTTCTTGAAACAATGACTTCAAAAAACTTTTGGAGGTCAAATTGTAAATTTGGGGATGTTACTGCTTCCCTTGAGGATACCTACAGGGGATGAAGTAGTATGGGCATTAAGATTGAGAAGTAAGGAAAAAGTAAGCATAAGCTTGTATCTCTTACTTTAATGCAAGACAAATTGTTTGTGAAGTTTTTTTGCTTTCTGACATTAGATGCTGTTAAATGAAGTGACTTAGTCCTTTTTTCTTTAAAACTTATGCCATAGAACACACAACATCATCTTCTGTGTCTAAGAAGCCTCGGCTAGACCAGATTCCTGCAGCAAATCTTGATGCAGATGATCCGCTTACTGATGTATGTATTTTTTTTCCCCTACCTTCTTTCCTTTCGTTGTCCTGCCTTCAGGATTTGCTGTAAATAGAATATGTACTTTTATTTTAGGTCTGCTAAAGATTTAAGACAGGTTCTGACATGCATTCCTTTTACAGTTATTCTGCTGTGGTGGAAGTCTAGAGCGGTATGCTGTAATGGTATTCTTGGAAAGCACACAAAAACTAGGGAACTGAAAATACCACTTGAAGTGTGGGGAATGGGTGACTTTTTAGACTCTGTCAACTACTGGGTTAGTCTGAATTCCCTTAAGGTAGAACTGTTGAGGTACACTGACCGTCTGCATGAGCAATGGATTCTTGCTTTTTGCTCATCTCCTCATGCTGATATGTAGGAGTTAGGTCTAAGACTTGACAATAAGCTGAGGGTTTTTATAATCCTGTTATATTTGGTCCTGACAATATTGGACGGGGTATTCAGGCACACTGCTACAATGACTTACATTACAATGATTAGAAAGCGATTGAGGACAGTCATTCTCTAGAATCTGTCATTTACATAGCATTTAAATTATAAAAAAATTAATGAGTCATCCAAAAATCACAAACATATTTTTGTCTTCCCTTTACTGTACAAGAGCAAATAAATAATTTGTATTGTATTTGCTGCTGCTGTAAGCACCCGAGTAATTCAGAAATCAGTCAGCAGCATGTTGAGCCTTAGCTGGGCAGATCAGGACTATTCTGGGGACTGCTCTTTTTTTGTATGAGACACATGTCTCTGCAATAACCTTTAGAACTAAAAGCTGGTTTTGTTAAATGAAATGAATGAGCTGCTGCTTGTTTCCATTTGCTATTAGGAAGATGATGAAGATGAGGACTTGGAAGATAGCGATGACGATGACACTGCAGCTCTTCTGGCTGAACTGGAAAAAATCAAGAAAGAACGAGCTGAGGAACAGGCTCGAAAGGTAGAATCTCACCTATTAAAGAGCATCTGTTTTTTTGCAGACCGGTGTTTATTAAAACTGGTGTGCCTTAAGCATTTAAGACAAGTGAGAACTGGTAAACAGGGTAAGTGCCCTTCAACTCATCTCAAGTGGAGTCTGATGGATTTGTTGCCAAGAATTTTTTTCTTTAGTAGACATACTGAACGTTTTACTCACTAGAACATTTTATTCACTTTCTCAACACTTCACAGAGGCATAGAGTCCAGATATCTTGCTTTTCATATGCAGGTCCTTCTATGAAGACAAATATCATATGAAACCATATAGTGGCATTAGCTATCTGTTATCCAATGCAATTTCATTTATTAACTAGCTTTTATGAAACAGGAAATACAATTTTTTAATTTATGAAATAAAAATATGTGCTTGTTGATGCTTTTGCTTATGGCTGCAAGTTTTATACAATGATTGCTCTTTCACAGCATTGATGTTGTGTTGCCTTGACAAGCAGCACCAGCTGTAACTATAAGACTAGAACTATTTTCATGTGATTATATGTTGGCAAGTTTATTTGAAAAAAGTCTCCACAAAAATGAATTAGTAACATGTCAGTTAGTCCTTTCAATACATGGAAAGTCTTCTCACATGTAGCTGTCATACCTCCCTATAATTTCTCTCTCTCCAGACAGAAACACTGTGTTCTACCCTTGAAAAGGGAAGGAAGTCCCTGTAGTTAGAGATCGTTTTCCCGTGAGCGGGATCAAATCCTATGCTGTTGGCTCCCACACCTCTTTGGTGTAATGTTGCTTGTTGGGATGGAGTGCATTAGCCAAATTCCTGATTACTGAATGGACTTCTATTCCCAGAAACAGTCCCTAGTCTGTGTTGTCAAACTGATCAGGATTTAGGATGAACTGTACTAGCTTTAACGTTGCATTGCAAATGTTTAGAGTCCAGATATCTCACCTGCACTACTGAAATGCTCTGCCACTGGTGCTGTAACAGAAGTGGTGCACACTTGCAGCATTCCCTCTGCTGCTTTTAGTCAGCTCTTTCTTTTTTTGAGTAGGACTTAAATCATTTTAGTGCTTTTGAAAAATGTTGCATAGTTCAGTTTGAGCAGTTTTGTATGTTGTTATACGTAGATTCTACAGTAGTGTAAGAAAAACCCCAAAAACCAGCTCTGTCATCTTTGCATAATCTGAGATGTTTTTAGAACATGCTAAATAAACATACTAAATGCTGATCGGGTTCTTTGCTGCTGTGACAACTTAAATGTTTTGATTCCTCTGCACTACTAACAACCTTACTGTAGCTTAACACACACGCTTAAAGTTTAATGCTTTTCACAAATGCTCTCCAGTAGAGTCAGCTAGCAGTAAACAGGACACAGAATCTAGCAGACACTAGGAACAGCCAGGAGAGAATAATGTTTTAAATGTTGCGGGCAGCAATGTAGTGCTTGACCGCTCTTGGCTAACGATACAGAAATTTACCTTTAGACTCAACAAGGCCTATAAAACCAGTGTGAGCTCTGCAGTTTTGGATTTAAGTACTTAGGAAGGCTGAAAGCTGTATCATGCTGCTTCAGTGCAGAAGTTTTGCTGGAGAAAACTGTTGATTCTCCATGTTGATAGTCCATCTGACCCATGAGCAGTGTCTTACATCAAAGTGTTTGAAAGTGTCTCTCATCTCTTTGTCTAGGCATTTGAAGCATATCACATAGCCATGAAATTGTGTTCTGCAGTAGTAACATGGTGAAAATTACTTTAAAACACTGGCAACAATTCTTCCATATGTTCCTGTGTGAAATACACTAAATTACAAATTAAGGGTAGCAATGTATACGAAAGACTTCTACTTCGGCTGTTCTTGCACACCGCTTAAAATGAAAGCTTAGATCTGTATGGATTTTTCACCTTGCCTGATAGTTGAAATTGTATATCTAGATTAAGCAGCATAACTTGTCACATTTCAGTGTAGCAAACTTGCATTAGGAAAATAATGGTAGTAAATTGCAACACAACTAAGTGCATGCTTCCCTGTGTGTAGAAAGCGGGAATGTTATCATCTCTATGAAATTCTTATTTTGTCACTAGAGGGTGCTAAAAGCTATGAAGTATTGAGTGTAGCACTTGTTTTATTTTGCTGCGTCTTAACTGGTATTAGTTTTTACCTTCATGTATGTTCTCCTTCCCCCAGGAGGAGAGTTTGTAATGTCCAGTGCTACGTGCATACTGAATACATGCACACTTATCTAAAATGAATATGTTTGTTTCTTCCTAAAAATTAGTATTAGTTATTTATTTGCAACAGTGCACATTATTGCACACTCACTACCTACTCTGTTCATCCTTTCACTGGTTGGTGGCACATAGGCTCTCTTAAAAGTTAACATCTTCAGTAAATAGTGGGTGGTCTACAGGTACTTGGAATTTTATTTTCTTGGGGTTTTTTGAGAGTAGGAAACCAAGACTACGTTGATTGGAAAAAGTGAAAACCAAGGTGGGGCACAGCCTGGGAAA